GGATCCTCCTGCACTCAGAGACAGGGATATGAAGCTTACAGATGTCCACGCTAAATACTCAATAAAGCAGTTTCTACAGCGATACATCAGTTTGGCAGAAGGAAGGACTGAACATGACTGGTTTTGTCTACGTTGTCCCAAGGCCTCTCTAATAAATTTCAAGCTTTGGTGACAACAAAAGAGAAACTGAGTCAAGGCTCTACGCTCTGCAGCCAACAGCACAGAACAGTGATGCAGACAGCTGGCTTCAGGCTTCCGTGGCTCCCCAGTGAAAGATCACCCCAGGGCTCTCCTAATGTGAATGAACCAGCGGACTCTGAGTCTCCTGCTCATCCCCGCCATTTTTACAAGCATGTCTGTTATTGAAGGCAAACTCGGCATTTGTTAAAATGCAGCCTGGAAGCATCTGAAGATGCAGCATTCTTATTGTAAAAACATACAAATGTATTTTAAAACTTATAAAACATATCCTGATTTATGTCCCAGATAAAGCCTCTGACTTCATTTAATGCATATCAGCACTGCTTGTGTTTCAGCACACTGGTATCTGAACACTCAGCGATGCAATGGTCTTTATGCCAACCAACCCTTACAAATCCAATGGTTTTTATTGTCTGTTTTTCTGAAGTCTCTCCTTCACCTGAGCTGGAAAATCAAGGCACTTAACATCTGGAAAAATTAAAGCTTTGGAAGTCTGCCTGTCTGATTGCCATGGTGTTGTTACAGAATTTTTGTTCCTTATGATTCTCCCATGCAGCCCAAACATTAACTGCCAGAGATCAAATCCAATGCAAGTTCTTCAGTTGTTTTCCATCACTTTGACTTGCCCATATGGAACATTCCCAAAGCACCAAAAGTCATTAGTATTTTTTAAAAACTGAAAATCCCAGAACTTATCATTTCTGTATCAGAAGTGCTTTTCAGTGATCCTAAAGGCTTCTCTCGCTGATAAATGCCATCACTGAGGTATTGCAGCTGATGTCAACAAAGCCACAGATACTGGGTATAAGAACAGTAGCAATGAAAATACATAAGGAGAGTGGTGAGGGGAGAAACAGAACTGAAGCGCTCTTGAAAAAGGAAGTTGGATTAATTTTCCCACTGGATTTTTCTTGTTTACACTTAGCTTGAAATCTTGGAAGGAAACGTAATGAAATTATTACTTGGTTATTTTACTTTGAAAAATAGCCATATCCACTGGGAAAATAAGAAAACCTTAAAAATATAAACAAGTTATATTCAAGTGAGTCGGTCATTCCTCTACCAGAGTGCCATCTCTCTCTGCTCTCTTTGCAGCATTTCCTTCTTACCATCTCCAGCCACCTTTTCATCCCCCTCCCCACTTCCAATTATTAATTTTTCTCTCAATACCATTCTCTCCATCCTCTAAGATCTATTTCAGAAGCTAGCTGCCACTTCTTCATGGACACAGGCATTTGGGGTACACTGTTGTTGTGTGGAAGGGGCCAGGCTTTCCTGTTGATGAGATGTGACCACTCTCGACCAGGACACTCGGTTCACATGCGTGCAATGAACCCTGCAGGAGCCTCTGCGCCCTAACAGACTCGTGACACTGGACAATCTTCAGGGAAGTTCCTGTATGTCAGTGGTTGGGTAGGATGAACTGTATTTTCGGTGAAACGTGATTGTTATTCTCTTCCCTTATTTAGACTTAAGAGCGGTTTTGTTACTTTTTTTGGTCTTTTATGATCAGAAATTTCATTTCAATTATCCAGACTTTTGTTTATGTAACTACAAAATATTATTGCAATATGTGCTTTCTAAGTATGGACAATCCAACAGGACAAACCTGTGAATCCGTGTCACTCTCACTACCACTAAGCATCCCCAGAACAGTTCTCAGGATCTGTAACATCTAATATACATACATACCTAACAAGTAATTCTGAAGAGCTCAGTAATTTTCCTCATTTAAAATCTTGGATGATAAGTTGTTGAACTTGAACACATTTCTTCTGCTTTTGATCACCCAACATCAAATTACAGGCTATAACATAAATTCTAGACGTTTTGCAGCCTACTTGTCACCAGATTCAGGTTTCCTAATTTTTCAAGAAGGGGGAAGGGCTGTTGGATTCAAAGCGAGCGCTGACCTGCACTGACCCCTTCTGGAAAGCACCAAAAATGTATCATTGGAAACAAACCTGTACTGATTCAGGGGGTGCGTGTGGGAACTACTTGACCTAATAGCTTTTTCCATCTCTATTCCTATGACTTTTAATCATGTTTGGTTGGAACAGACTCAGCCTTCACAAGCTATTTGCATGGGCAAGGCTCTGGAGCAGATATACATGTCATCCATTAGCATCCAGCAGACCAGAAAAGGCCCAAAGGACGAGAAAAGTTTCTTCGTAGCTGGAAGCAGAAAATAGTAAGACATTAAAAGAAAAATGGCAAAACATAGTCCATTTTCAGGCAAGGACAGAACACAAATTAGTATGAAAAGAAAACAGAGCCTTACAGAACGTCTACAATGTGTAATCCCAAAGCATCTAAAACAAGAGAATACAATTTCTTTGCGAACAGTTCCATAAAATCTCTGGAGGCTATAAGCAATTGGGACATAAATTTCTAATCTAAAATATGATACTTCTTTGCTTCTGAGCAGACTCACACTTGGGAGCACAGGTTTAATTTTTATTAAAAAGGAAAAGGACTAATTCTTCAATGGCCAGTGACATCCTGTTCTGTTCCTTGGAAGTGTCCAGTTCTATCTAAACTGGATGACCCTCCACAGTGCTGACAAATCACAGACCATGGTTGAACCGGCTTACAGAAAGAAAATAATTTTTTTTTCTCTCTTGTGTACATGAACATAATATTCAAAGCTATATTTCTTCGCCCTTGAACACAAGGGCTTGATGAAATAAACACATTCAAAAATTATCTGCAAGAAATCAGAAATATGTCAAATTTCCAAATTTGGAAAGAGATTATGGGCTTCAGCTCAAACTGGCACATGCTTTGTTTGTCTCCTTGGGACTCAGTGGTCTGCACTGCTAACAGTTGTAGAAAATACAAGACAAAAAAAAACAACCAACCAACCAAAAAAAAAAAAAAAAACCACATCTCAGGAGAGGACACAAATCACTCAATCCAGAGAGTACAGGTTTTTAAGAAAGCAATTATCTTCCTTGTTTGCATTAAATTATGTGTCACATAAATTCCTTTGGAGACAGCATGTCTTTAAAGGTGAGGCAAGTGGAGTACTTACTGTATTTGAACTACCACCATATTGCTGGCCTCTTCCTGTCTGACCAAAAGCCACACTGCTGCTGAAGTATCTGCTTCAAAAGTCCCACAACACGGAGAAACTCTTGGACAGCCAGTAACCCTTTGTCTACATATCTTTACCATGATAAGCCAGCACTGTGCTTATCAACTGTTGGTTTCCATGACATGAAGAAAGCCACCCCTTTAGCCTTCTCAATCACAAGAGGCCAGCAGAAGAAATTGCATTTATTTTAAGACATTGAATAAACTCTCCTATTATGTTGTTGCAGACAAACTCCTTCCACTTGGACAAAAGTCACTTTATAAAGGAAAAAACACCCCAACCCTCATAAAAATGTGACATCATTACATCACTGTGCATAGCAATGTTCATTCTCCTCATAAGGATGATATTCCCAGACTGGATGGCAGTAAATATTTTGTTTGGCTCTTATGTTTAAGATTTTAGACAAGTTAAAGATTACCCTGCTTCTAGAAATCATTATATAGCATAAAGCAGCAAGAGAGGAAGAGATCTCTTCCGGCAAGCATTCTTACTCAATTTGCTCTCTGAATAACCGTGATGGCCTTGTTTTCATCGCTTGGCATAAAGCACAAGAGCCTGGACAGAAGCCCTGCCTTCATTCCCACTTCTTTGGAAAGTCCCGGAGTTAAGTGCATAGATCTGCCACATAAAGAGATTTGCAAACTAGACTGTAACAAGAAGCAAGTGCACACAAGAGGATGGAGGTGGAAGACCTACTGTGACAGGAAGAGCAAACTATATTTTACAATAAATTTTACATTTATGTGACAGTTTACATTTTACACCACATTTTAGCTATAAGCTCAGAAAATGTACAAAAGACCTCGGATGAGCGCTGTTGACCACTGATGGAACTGAATGGCATTAATTTCCATCAATGCACATGACCCCCAAGTGATTTTAATTTACTCTGTTAGTTTTCGCCTGCTGAAGTGACAGAATGCAAACAAGCACTTGGACAAACCCCATGAATGACCTTTCCCATCGAGTACAGTTCAGCTGAAGTACTCTCTTTACAAAGATGCAGAATTACTATCTAAGATGAACTGTTTGTTGGTATCTGAAGTCTCAGCAGACTAGGCAGGCTCTAAGCGGGCACCTCTAGGCTACCTTCCATGAAAGGCAGGTGTAAGAAGCCAAGAGGTGAGGCATGCTAAGAAAGATGATGGGAAAAGTGACCTCTCAGCAGCCTACAAGCTGCCCAAGGCCTGACAAAGGCAAGTGATATTAAAACAAAAATGGAAAGGTTAAAACTGGACAGACTAGTTACAAGAGTTACATCCTGGCAACATGCTGTTTCAAATCTTCACATGCTGAAATACACAAACCACCATGGGAACATGCAGGGACCTCAGGATCCATACAAATGTGGTCATTTGAAAACAAGCCCCTTCCACACATCCCACAGAAGGCCTGAAACTCCTTGACATGAGAGTCATCCCAGAGCCCATCCAAATAGGGCAGCCATATAGTTCAAGCAAAACCACCCCCTGGTCTTCCTCTCATTGGAGAGCTAGGAGAGACTCAAGAGCTGTGGCAGGAGTGTAGCTCAGACTTCCATAACACAAAGGCAGCAGTACATCTAAATTCACCTCCATTCTCCTGAACATGAGGCAGCAGTGTGCCCAGGTGGCCAAGGCCAACAGCATCGTGGTCTGTATCAGGAATAGTGTGACCAGCAGGACTAAGCAAGTGATTCTTCCCAGTGGTGAGGCTGTACCTCAAGTCCTGTGTCCAGTTCTAGGCGCCTCAATTCAGGAGGGGCTGGAGCAAATCCAGAGAAGGGCAACTGAGCTAGTGAAGGGTCTGGAGCACAAGACCTAGGAGGAGCAGCTGAGGGAGCTCGGGTTGTTTAATCTGGAGAAAAGGAGGCTCAGGGGGCTTTATGGCTCTCTACAACTACCTGAGAGGAGGTAGTAGCCAGCTAGGTATCTGTCTCTTCTCCCATGCAACAAGCGACAGGACAAGAGGACATGGCCTCAAGCTCCTCAAGGGAAGGTTAAGGTTGGACATCAGGAAGGATTTCTTAACAGAAAGCGTGGTTAAACATCGGAACAGACTGCCCACGGAGGTGGTGCAGTCACATTCCCGGGAGGTGTTCAAGGACAGAATGGACGTGGCACTTAATGAAAACGAAAACCCCAGGTGGAAAGCGCTGGGCAGGGGAAGAAGAACCTCCCGCCCCGTTCTGCCCCTCGGCTGCCGAGGCGGGGGGGACGCGCCCCGAAATGGCGGCGGCAGCACCGCCCTCCCGCCGGCGGAAGCGGAGTGACGGCAGCGCCGGCGGCGGCAAGATGGCGGTGTCCAGCCTGCTGTGCGGGGGGTTGAGGCGGCTCTTCGCCGGGCTCTGGGGGGCCGGCTGGGCCGCCCCGCCGGCCCGGGCCCTCCGACAGGGTGAGTCCGGGGGCGGCCCCACGCTGTCCCGCTGCCCCGCGGTCGCGGAGAGATGGTTGCGGTCACTGTAATTCGCCTTCTCCCAGTCCCCAAATACTACTTCTTTCAGGCTGAATGACTCTTACTGTGTCCTTCTGTCTTTTTTTTTTTTTTTTTTAGTTGTGGAGGTGACTGAAGGCAACACGACCACAGTAAGTCCCTGTACCCCTTTTTCTCAGTAGCTGCCTTTGCTGTCACTTCTCCTTCCTTCAGCCTCCAGTCGTGTGTGTGGCCGTGTGTGCCCATGCCCGCACCCCCCCTCCCTCTCCCTCCCCCCTAGCAAAGTTAAGAAAAAAAGGGCTGTAGGGTGCGTTGCGAGTGCAGGTAAGCAATGGAGGATTTGGCTGCCAAAGGTCAGGATTGTCACCCTGCTGCTGGTGGCAGGTGCCTCCACTCTGAGCCACCTGTGAGCACCAAACCCCTCACTACAGTCCCGGTGAAGCTGGAAGCCCTGGCTGAAGGCATTCAGAACCCAAAACACCACAGTTCTTCAGAGGGTTCATTTCTTAAACTGGTGACACTCGACAATGTCTCGAGTACAGGCACAAAAGAGGGCATGGTGGCTTTGTCATTCCCTCGTGGGCTGGCAACACGATGTGGCACTGAAGGATGGCTCTGTACCAGCTGTGTGCCATGCACATCTCTTGCCTTTGATCGATGTTGTGTTTGGTAACCACTGTGTGTGCCATATTGACTGCAGGTGATACAAAGCTTGCATCTTATAACACACATGGTAAGAAAAAATATTTGGTGAAAGGGGTATTTTCAAAGAAAGGCCTTAAATACTAAAGGAAAACAGCCCCTGAAAATAGAACAGAAGTTCTGAAGTAACTGCTGAAGAAGAACATCTTCTCAGCTACACTTTAAGACAGAAGGAAAAGATTAAAGCAGTAGAATTCGAATTTTACCTAATTAACATCATCTGATCTATTACACTTTATTGAAAGAATTGTCAAGGAGATTGCAATATTCTGCTCACATTATTTATGCCAGTAGCAATCTGTGCCTTGACTGGAGACAGGTAACACAGATATTTTGAAATATATAAATAAGGAGAGTGGAGAAAGAATAATTTGGGAATAGTTAGAAGACAGTGCACCTAAATGCTAATCTCTATATACATAAATAATAAGAATGGGATGGACTTTTTTTGCTTGCTAATGAAACAGACAAAACCTGGTTGTTCATGCCTTTGAAAGTCTTAAGTATTTTTGTCAAAAATGTATTTTCTCAGAAGTTTTGTCTTATTTATATTAGTGGACATTGTCATGTTTGAAACCTGCATGGAGCAGGTTATTTGTTCTATTAGAGATTATATATCTAAAACATATGGCAGTTAACAAGATCTCTTAAGACTGTCAAAAAACCCAAGTTTAAGGTGTGATACTAGGTGTGATAGAGAGTATCTTTTTCTTGCCTTGAAATGCCAGGCAACTAATCTCTGCCCAGAAACCTGAAGAGAAGAGCTTGCAAGCATGCCCTGAAGTTGTTCTAACCAAAACAAGGGGGGTAGTGTGCACACCAACAACACACACAATGTATTTTGCACTAATATAATTTACATCCCTTTACAAAGGAGATGTAAATTATAATCTCAAAGTCCCAAAACATTAACTGAGGTTTGTTGTAAAAAAGGTATGCATTACATTAGCAGAGCCCTCTATAAAACTAATTCTTCCTGGAGATTTGGAGTTTTTTGCTGAGTAATATCCTAGCATCAGTCTAGGATCCGTCAGTGCCCCTGGATGAGGAAAGTCTTGTAACAAACAGTGTAAATTGAGAAACCACGTTTCTCAGTGTATCCATTGGTCACTCCATTTATCCTGCCAATTCTCTGTTCGTATTTCCTGAATCCATCTTTCTGTGCTTATCTTTCTATGTGTCCTTGTTTTTATCAGTATTGAAGGAAGTCTTTGACATGAACCAGATGAATGAATCCCAGAGAAATCTGGATTGCATCAGCATACTGAGAATGTAGATCCTCTTTATGCACTCTGAAGTTGTTTAACAGAAAAATAGCAACTGAGTGAATTAGCAGTATTGAAATCCTCAGTAATTGGGGAATAATTGCTAAAGCCTGTACACTGAAAGTTATCTCAAGAAACAGTGATCTTGACATAGCATTCTGAATCTGTATTCATTTCCAGCATGAAATTACAGTCAAAGTACAATCTGAAGCCAGACTGGCAAAAATCAAGACCAAATACACCAGCTTCCCAAAAATTAACTTTACTGATTAATAAAAAATTAGATACTGGCCTACATTTTATATTCATAGTTAGGTATTTGTTTCTGTAAAACTGACTGTTTTACTTGTGGGAGGTAGGAATCTTACTTAAAATTTGATAATACTGCCTCTTTGAGATAGCAAGATGCTTGAACTACAAATAACTTATGTTTCCATTTTCCCATCACCAGACAAGAAAGATACAAACCCAGAGTATGAAAGAGTTCTGCCAGTTCAGCTGGATGCCAGTTTGCTGTGCATGCTTACAGAAAATGTCTTGCTTTTCTTTTCCCAGATTTTCCAGCACAGAACCTGATGGTTTCTTAAAAGTAACCTTGCATTCCACCCAGGGTTTCTTTTCAAACTCTCTGGTGCTTGCACTGTTTGAGCCTGTCAGTTGATGCTCAGAATCTGCATTTAATCTTAATTTGACCAGAGGAAGCTTGCAAAATATTTTGGAGAAAAAAGGCTTAGTTTTATTGGTTTTTCTGGCTGCAATTTGAGATAGCTCTTGCTTCTATTAGTAAGTCCTCAAGAAAAAAAAAAACAAGTGCACATGTAGATAGACTTCATATTCCTATATTCCTACGTATCTACTTTTAGAAAACAAATTTGTCGAGTTCTTCCTTTACACACCTTCTACATCTCTTTGCATGTTACTTGTGAGAAAACTTGAGTGTTAGACATCACCACTTTGTAGTGATGTAGAAAAGATCATCTTATAGTCTCGAAAAAAGAATTGTCCAGCAAATTAAACTGGATAAAATATTGGTGTATGTAAAAAAGAAAAAAAGAAAACCACAAACTCCACAGACATCTCCTAGCAATGCTTTCTTAAATTTAACTTTTGCTCAGAATTTGCCCTCTTTGTGATTTGTAATCACTACAACTTCAAGGCATGCTGTTTCAAAAGAGTACTGCAATAAACAGAATTCGGGTGAATATGAGAACTTCACACTGACTGTCAGCTAGGTTACGTTTAGTAACCTTTACACAAGAATTTACCAAAGGGTTTTCTATGCCCTCTGGATTTGTTCTTCTCCCCGTAGTCTGTGGCATAGATGTACCAAAGTGCTTGGTGTACCTATATAAAAGTGAGTTGAATGCAGATACTCTTTTCCTTACATCTGCACAGAACTGATCAACGTATTGTGGGCTTCATGAAAAGTATTCCTTTAGTCACAGGTGCAGGTCACAGAGGTCTAAGCTATGCCTTATCACTATATCCTTTAAATTTCTTCCTAGATTGAAGGGAAAATTATAGAGGATGCTGAAGCACCAACTCCTCCAAACCCCTCTGGCCAGTGTCCCATCTGTCGCTGGAACCTGAAGCACAAGTACGATTATGTGGTAAGTTTAATGAAGGAATTCCCCCAACTTCATAGCTAGATCAGATGGCCCTCAGATCTACGTACTGCACAACCTGCCCCTCTCGTCTTTTGCTGGGTGTAGTAAAGATACTTGACTCCATCTCTGCTTCTCTTGGATGTAACAAGAGCTTTCTATGGAGTAATCGTTTGCCTTGGCTGATGGTGTTCCTGGGGGAAAAAAACGATGAGCTCGTATCAAATAGATTTGGAATTATACAAATGGCCATCTGCTCTGGCAAGGCCATATATTTCTTCTGTGCCCAGCTGCCTTTCAGCATTGCACTTCCAGGAGAATCAAACTGGAATGCAGCACTAAGTCAATGGATACAGGCGTGTTCTAACTCCAGAGAGGCCAAAAGACCTGGCTAGATCAATTATATGACTTCAAGCACTACAATTTCTCCTTGGGTCATTGTCCACTAAGTTAATAACTGTTTCATATAACCTTTAAAAGTGTTGATGAGTACAAAGGAGAGCATACATTTTTTACGTACCTTGCAACAGAAAAAACAGGTTTTATTCAAGCTTTTTGCAAGAAATGCTAATGAGAGGTTCATTAACTAATGAGGGGATAACTAACACTAAATCTAGACTATGGGAAGAAAATCCTGTAGTACTTTAAAACAGAAGTACAACAGTTAAGAACACTTTAATAAGAAGCATGAGATAGAAGATGCAGAATGTAACTTTACAAGAGGTCATTCAAACACAGAGTTTACAAAGGGACTAAGTTCCCCCCTTG